TTAGAAGAAAAATGGAGCTCTTTCTTTGCATTAATTTTTATATTCTTTTCCATCGTAGGAAAAAGAATTCTAGTTTTAAACGGAGGCTACAGAGGAAATGAAGGTACCCTTGAATCCATCAATGAGAAGACTTTTTCAGCTACTATCGTCATTGAAACTGTAAGTTTGTTTATACAAAGACAGAAATTTCAAAGTGCTTTAAAAATGTGCCATAGTGTTTTTTAATTGGATTGCTCTTTATTTTAGAATTTGAGTTTTTTATTAGCCTTGTATCCTATTTGGAAATCTGTAAGCTTATTTTCTCTAATGACTGTGCCATTGCTAAAGCATTTTATTTTCTGATTACAAAAGAAATGTTACTCACGCTTAAAACCTGAAAAATATATTTTAATTTAATATAAATAAATAATTATAAAAATCAATCATAATCCCCAAGCCCAACAATAAACCTCATTAATATTTTGCTCTGTTCCTTTTCAATCTTGGTGTTTTATGAAAGTGTGTATAATGGGTACCGTTTTATATCCTTTTTTCCCCTCATATTGAATATAAAACTCAATTTGGTATAGTGAAGTTAGTGGGGGAAGTATAGTCATTGTCAAGAGGGAGGGAACCACAGAGGTCACCCACTTTTTTAAATGTCTTCCCTTTTTTCGTAAAGGATTTAAGGTAGCAGAGATCAATACAGTAATTTAAAGAACTCTGACATATAAATAAAGTTGGTTATTGACTTAGAACTGATATTTCACTGACAGGTCTGTGACTGAGGCCTGAGATACCTTCAGAAAGAAAGTTTCCTTTTAAAACTCTGAACTACTGCACTGCATATCTTTGATGCTAAACAAAAGAATTTTTCATCTCCAGTACAGTCCGTTTTAGTATTTCTGGGGGAGCTTGGGAGTAATAGATCACTAAGAGAGTTTAATGAAGTTCAGACTCTTCAAAACGTTGCACATAATTTGCTAAATTTCCTTTGTTCTCTTGGAGAGTTGATAGGACCCCTAAGCCCCTGGGCCTGTTAGAGGATATGTGTCTAGGAAGGTTTTCTGGAAAAACCATTTAGGTCCTTATTTGAGAGAATTCTCATTTCAGTAAATCAAGCTTTTCTTTTCTTTTTTTCTGTCTGATCCTGACAATGCTAACCTAGAAACTGTTACTTGCTAACTGTTACTCACTAATGTAAACTAAGGGGAAAAAAGGGAAAAAGGACTCTTACTTGGCATTGAGGAACGTGTCGGTCTGACTGAATTAGCAGATTGAGTTTTAACAAAAAACTCTAAGATTTTCTCTGACTCTATCAGCATAAGGCAATAGAAAATCCAGTATTTCCTTGACAACTTGCTTATCCTTCCCTTATTAATTTCTTTTTTTTTTTT